ATATCCATCTTCTACCCCATTCATCACAATCCGTCTCAAAAAAAAAACTAAAAAACTAAATTTTCTCTACAGCGATTTGGCCAGAAAACCTCTTGTCAGCTGGATTTTCTGGGACGGAATCAGATTGTGCATCAAATCCAGTGGAAATTGTGGAAATATACTCCGTTCAAGATGCGAGTTAAGGTAATACATGAACAAAATTCATCCACGCAGTAACCACCGATTGAGGATCCTGAACCGAACAGAAGCAGTTCGGAAAGTGAAGATAAATGAAGGTAATACTATTAATCTTTTGGACTATTGATGCGTTTTTCGATGGGTTTTGTAGATTTACTGAACATGAAAACCAAAACAGGCCTAGAAATTTAAAGTTGAATTTCAGTACATGTAAATTCTGCTCGTTGGCTTTCGAAACACTCCCTCCCTCCCTCCCTCCCTCCCGATGTTATTGCCCAGTTTAGATTCTCACTTTAGTTCGATTTGTATCAAAAGTGAAAATCCAAACTGGACAATAGTTTTGGGACGAATGGAGTACAGTTTGCAGAATTGGCTCCGGCAAATACTCCGCTTTGCTTCCGATGCATATTGATTTCGATGGCGTCATCACCGATGAGCTAATTTGGGGGGTTTTCAGAAAGAACTGTGAGGTGTTGGCGATATGGCTTTTCTGTTTCTTTTAATACTAGTGATGTCTGTCGCGCAATGCGCAACCCTGGCTCAATATATCTGTAAATTTTAAAAATATTTGTATCTGGAAAAAAAAATCTATTTTGTATTTGGGTCGATATATTTTAGAAATGTTTGAAGAATTTAGAAATGTTTTATAAGTGTGATCATAGAAATGTTCGTATTTGGCATAAAAAGAAATTGTATTTGGCCCGATACGTTTTAGAAATGTTTGAAGATTTTAAAAATGTTTTATAAGTGTTACTTCTTAAATATAAATAAACTTGATCAAATATATGTCTTGAAGTAAATACAAGACAAAAGATAAAAGCATCCTCATAAGTTTAAATATTAGTAAGATAATTTATTGATGTTCTCCATTGGTTGTGTCAAATTAATACTTAGTTTTGGAGATTTATAATAGCTTTGTAGTAAGCTTCCTCCAAAGGTTATACGCTTAATTGTTGAAACTATTTCTTCCAAAAGTTTATAGGTAGTAAAATATAAAAAATATGATTTTGAAACTGATTAATTGTTGAAACTGGTTGATCACAAATATGAGAATAAAAATAATGTAAAAATACATAGGTTTCAAGTTATAGCAAAAAACAACTCACCTCACCATGGCAAATTAAAAAAAAAAAGTAAAAGATAGCCCATTAAAAATTGAGAAATTTATTTTTTTCTGTAGGTAAAAATGATGTATAAAAACACAAATAAACGTAGAAAAATTATTCCTTCCCTCTCCACCTCAAATTCATAAAAAGCTTCCCCATAAATTAGTTAGAAGAAGAGACATGAACTATTTATATGATAAGGAACTAAAAAAAGTCCAAAAACCAAATCCAAAAAAAAGTATATTCTTGAAAGACCGAACGCAAAAAAAACGCTTCATTTGTAAATAAAATAAAATAATAATAATAATAATAATTGGTTAACTGGAAGTATGAAACAAAATCAAAAGCAATTAAACAAAGAAAAAAACACACTTCATAACTGACCATATACGAAAAAAACCTGAGACTCCATAATTAAAAAAAGAAAACCAGTCTAATTGAATGAAACATAAAAAACAAATTTAAAAAACCACACTTTGTCACAAAAACCCAATTAATCAATTCAATACAAACAGAACTAAAATCATACAAAAATTCTAGGCTAACTAACCATATAAGAAATCACATCATATTACCTAACAGCGAATACAGTAGCTGTAACGGATGCACGCATAAAAATAATAGTAATAACACTATTCTTGAACGGGAAAAATAAAAAATAATAAAAGCCAAACAAATGATCTGCTGAAATAAAATCATTTAAATTTTAATACCTGTAATGGCACCACTATAATGGCCGAAGCAAGATCAATGAGAATTTATTTTTCCTTTGTTTTATATAGTGAGGTAAAGAGAATATTTTTTGAACTCGAAATTTTATCAGATTAGGATGTAGTTGATCATCACCAATGAAAAAATTTAACATACTAATAGGAAAGGAGTATATTTCACCACATATTCTCAATTGATGATTGATGAGAAAAAAATTTTTTTTTTATTGTGGAGAAGTGATTGATTAGGGAGTCGATTGTCGTAGAAATGGGGATGAGGATTTGGATTTTTTTTGAACACGTGGTTTTTTTTTTTTTTTTTGCGAAAATAGGAGGTGAAGGTGGATTTGGACTGCATTTGCCTTTTAAGTCTAGGAGATGTGTAAATAAAAATTTATTTTAAAAATATGATGTGGAAATGCCACATGGCAAATGGTGGTGCTTTCTCTAAAGTGTGATTTTTGTTTCTACTATAATAAGATACTAGATGTTTGGCCCAGGCAAATGCCCGGGTGCCCCTTCTAAATTACTATTTTATTAAAATCTAATTGAATTACTATTTTTGATGAATTAATTTGGCGTATATATTATTTATACTATAGTTTGGGGCTTAAAAAAATATACCTATAAATCTGAGATTATAAGGGAATGATAAATAATTAGTTTATAAGGCATTATTCTTAATTACTGGATTTAGGTATTTTTATTTTTTGTTTATATTAATCCTGCAAAACTATACGATTGGACATTTGAATTTGAATTAATATATCCATTCGTTTGAAATGTAATTGATCTTTATTTGTAGTAAAACATGTGTTTTTTTAAAAAAAAAAAATTATATAACTTGTAATTAAAAGAGACTTACACGTGGCAAAAAGACTCCTGAAATCTGAAATATGGTGCATTGGAGACAAAACAGATGCATACTTAGTTGCCACATAAGCTTCATATCTTCTGCTTTAATAGGATAACTAGATATTTGGCCCAGGTAGATGTCCGGGCGCCCCTTCTAAATTACTATTTTATTAAAATCTAATTGAATTACTATTTTTTGAGGAATTAATTTGGCATATATATCATTTATGCTATGGTTTGGGGCTTAAAAAAATATACCTATAAATCTGAGGTTATAAGGGAATAATAAAAAATTAGTTTATAATGCATTATTCTTAATTACTGGATTTAGTTTTTTTTATTTTTTGTTTATATTAAGCCTGCAAAACTGTACGATTGGACATTTGAATTTGAATTAATATATCCATTCGTTTGAAATGTAACTGATTCTTATTTGTAGAATTTTTTCATTGGATAAGTGTCACATCTAAAACATGTGTTTTTTTAAAAAAAAAAATAATTATATAGCTTCTAATTAAAAGAGACTTACACGTGGCAAAAAGACTCCTGAAATCTGAAATATGGTGCATTGGAGCCAAAACAAATGCATACGTAATTGCCACATAAGTTTCATGTCTTCTGCTTTAATAGGGTAAAAGGGATAATAATAATAATAATAATAATAATAATAATAATAATAATAAAAGGGATTACTGAAAAGTAAGAACAAGCATTAATCTTTTTAATCCCTTAGCTAAAATTGTTTCCAAATGGTTAGGCGCCGGGAAAAAAAAAACACTCCTACTCAATTGTGGAGATTAAGACTTATTGAGTTTATTATCGGAAGGTAAGATGAACTGGTATGTGAGAGTATTGAACTTACAAACGAGGTCGAAAAATTAAGCGGATATTTTTAATAATTTAATTCTATATTGACAAGTTCATAATTGATTAAAGTCATAATTTGAATAGTTTATAGCTATATAATATCAAGCATTTCAAAATGGTTAATCAGATTTTGCCTCTGTCTCTGGTTTGGATTTAAAATTTTTACACTAACGTCAGATTAAAGGAATGGGGTTCTCTATAGAGACTGGCTCTCAAAAAGTTTTCAAGGTCAAGTCATATTGAAAAAAACGATATTTTTTTATGCGAAATCACTTATTTTGACTATCTCAAAATAATTATTCAATTTGAATTTTGAACTCCATTCCTCCTGCCTCCAACACTACTTTACTGCGGCATTGATGCAGAGGAGAAGCCCTGAATTGTCACCAAAATTTCACTTGTAGAAAGCAGAAGAGCAAGACTTAACAAGCTAATTGGACAAAGAAAAAACAAAAGAAACTAAGGCCAGACCGCAACCAATGTAGGGAAGGAAATGGGAAAAGGACAAAGAAAATTGCCAGTGGGTAGGAATGTAGATGAATGGATTCACCTACAACAATGCTAGTAAGAAGAGAAGCTAAAAATGGCAAAAACTTCCCATGACTTCAATGGTTTACTCGAGGAATACCAGCTGCGAATGAGGGATGCAAGAAAAACATCATTCAGAAAAGATTAATCCAGCATTACTAGGGAGTAAATCCCATACTTTGAACCCATCCAAAAAGGTAAGGGAAACAAAGCCAATATGTGTTCAGAGTTTAAACACATCTAGAGCAAAATATGAAAAGGGTTTGAAGCTATATATGTGGGAAAAAGGAGTTGTCTCAAGTTGTACAAAACAAAAGGAGACTTTACTACACCCAAGGAACAGACAGGTGCATTCGCCTCAACTGGAAGTTGGGTCAGATACATGATACTTTTGAACTACTTGGACAGCCCTCCTTGAAGTGATCTCGCACCACCATGACTCTTTGACATAACCAGAACTTCCACGTGTTCAACTTTTCCCTCCCCGGAGTACACATTATCAAAATAGTGGTACCTCTTCAACTCCAATCCTTCTGCATTAACTGGGCAGCTTTCAACTTTGACATCAATCAATTTGTCTTCAAATTTATACGGGACTTCCTCCGCGTTAATCTCAGGATTTCCATGAATGAACTGATAAGTTTTTGTGGATTTAATATAATGGTCACCGAGAAATTCAACAAAGGATAGGGTGCGCAATCGAGGAGCCATCCAAAGGATACCCTCCAACATTTTCAAATTGATTGGATATTTGAGTTCAGGAGAGTAACAGGCACCTATACTTAAAGTGCTTCACATCCCATAAAGGAGGATCCAGAGAGTTCCTCAGATGTTGTGGAACTTCAAAATATTGAGACGAAAAATCTCCCAACTTCACCACCACAATGTGATTGAACGCTCTAAGGAACTCCACAAGGTTTTCAGAAGTTACTACTCCGGTAGCCCAAAGAACAAAGTTAGCATCCTTTATTGGTGAAGTTCCAAATGAGAGGTTTGATGACATGAGACCAAAATAAAAGATTTCAGACAGTTGAGGTGCATCCAGTTCAACATACACCGGATCTTCAATAAATTCTAGCCACAGTTTTCTAAGACTGTTACTTGAGATTTTGAACCTCCTAATCCCCTCTTCAGACCATGTAAACTGGTCCATTGAGAATGTTTCAAGGCACTTAAGATTCGAACCAAGATCCTCAATTGACTTCATCAACTGATCATCACCACACAAACTAGACAAATCAAGAGACTTCAAATTCTGGCAGGATGCCAGATCTAGGACATCTAATTCCTCAAAAGTATTGGCTCACATAACGAAAAACTCCAGATTCGGTGCTTCCCTGACCACAACTTGTTTCGATTTCTTGAGGAGCATTCACATAGCGACGATCATACATAGAAAGACTGTTCACAAGCTCAATCCGTTTCAACTCGTGATGCGATCCTAATACCTCAAACGCACCGAAACCAAAACAGTTGCGGATTTTGAGAAACTCCAGCAGAGGAGAGTTGATGATGAGCTGCGCTAAGTACTCATCATCAATCTCATTACATATCAAATGCAATTCCCTCAATGACGGAAGATCTATCTCGGCGTCACCACTTAACGAAAGCTTCAATCCTTTTAAAACAAGCCTACTCAGAGATTGACCAGCATAAACAGCCCTAGGCAACGGGTAATCTGGCAAACCCTCCCCATTCTTACTCATAGGGAGCTTCAAAACAAATTCCTCTAATACTTTCGCTACCAGTATGTCTCAGGCATTGCAACAAATACGGAACGTAATAAGAAAACTTGTCACCCAGAAACTCAAAGCTGAATTTATGAAAATGTAAATTCGACGACTCATTGGCTTTCACAATAAAGCATCCAGCAGAAATGATCATGGATCTGACCTTGAGTTCTTGAGACTCGACGACCGCCGGAGGCCCATTAAGGTTTATTGAATACAGCGTAGGAATGAAATCATCGGTGAGATTCAATGTGTGCAGGGTGCAGACCGCATTTCTCCAGGTCTTCGAGGCACGAATCACGTTGGTGAAATTCAAGAACGACAATATGTGATGCAGAATCGGCTCCGGTAACTCCTCTATTTCTCTTATGGTCTAAAAACTGTTAGTACCACGTGATTTTAGGTGAGAAGACTAGACTCGCATTCATCATCACTTAGGCGCGATCCAAAACTTCCAGATGGACTTAAATCCATTACCCTTATTGTCAGTTTAAGTAATATGTTAAAGAGCCAATCTAGGTAGTTGGAATTTGACGTAATTGAGTCACTGGGAAGAATCAGATCAAAGGGAGAGAGACTAGAGCGATAGAGGAAGAAATGGAAAGAGACTGAACGTTCTTCATTAACCAACCCCTCTCCTATTATTATTACATTGGTTTATTGTCAGCAACTAAACAATGGTATAGACTACTACACTGTCTTACAAATATTCTAATTGGGCTATTAGCTAACACAATATTTGATACGGAAGTTGATGATATGAGGGAAACTGGGCATAGGGAAATTTTGTGCCGCAATTGAATATTTACCATTACCACCCAAAACAGAAAACATAAAGCTAAAATAGCAAGAAGTTTCCACAACTTCTATGGTTACCCATGTAATACAAGCCGAGGTAGATGCAAGAAAAGCATCATTGACAAAAAGAGTAATGAATGAACATTACTAGGGAGGGAATCTGATGCACAAAAACATGGAATCGATATAAAAGAGACAAGACTAAAGAAAACGAAGCAACTCAAAGCTATGTTAGAAAATGTGAAGCTTTCGTAATTTCAAGTGATAAAAGACCAAAAGGTAACTCTACCATGTTCAAGGAGCAATGTATTCGCCTTAATTGAAAGTTGCAGTCATTCAGTGTCGAACAAATGATTCCACACATTTGAACTAACTGGAGAGCCCTTTATGAAGATGAGGATGTTCACTTGTTCAGTCACCAGGTCTCTTCGACATTACCTGAACTACCAACCATTTAGCTTTGCTCTCCAAAGTTTTCTCATTATTATAGAAGTAGTACTTCTGTAACTCCAATCCTTCCGCATCACCTGGAAAACTTCGAACTTTGACCTCAATTAATTTATCCCTCTGACTCTCAGAGATAAGAGGGACTTCCTCCATATTAATCTCAGGATTCCCATGCGTGAATTGATAAGTTATGGTAGTTTTGTGACAAGAATCAGCAATAAACTGAGCAAAGGATAGAGTGTTCAATCGAGGAGCCATCCAAAGCAAACTCTCCAACATGTCCAAATGGACTGGTATATATTGGAGATCATCACAATAGCGGGCGCTTATAGTTAAGTGCTTGATGTCCCAAAGAGGAGGATCCAAAGAGTTCCTGAGATATTCTGGAATTGTGAGATCACAAGGCGCAAAATCATCCAGCTTAACCACCTCAATATGATTGAAGGTTCTGAGGAACTCCACAAGGTTATCATACATTATTTCTTCATCATCCCATTCAACAAAGTTAGCCCCCTTTGTTGGTGAAGTTCCGAGCGACAGGTTTGATGATATCCAACCCAAATAAAAGATTTCCGACACATGAGGTGCATCCAGTTGAAAATCCACTGGATCGTCAGTAAATGCTAACCACAGTTCTCTGAGACTGCTGCTTGAGATTTTGAACTTCCTCAACCCCTCGTGGGACCAAAAAAACTTATGCAGCGTGAAGGATTCGAGGTCCTTAAGATCCGAAACGAGTTGTTCAATTGACTTAAGCAACTCACCGTCACCACATAAAGAACCCAACTCAAGCTTCCTCAAATTCTTGCAGGTTGCCACTATTGAATGATTGGCCGGTCCCTGACCCGGGTAATCTTCTATCCTTGGCCGGATTTCTCACCGGCCAAGGTTCCCGGGCTGACCGCCGGTCGGGTCGGCCAGCCTAGGCAGGCAGTTTTTTAAAAAAAAAAAAAATTTGTGTTTTTTTTTTGTAATTTTGTTGTTATAATTAATTTAGTTAAATTTATTTATAATTAATGTAATTAGTTGTTGTATTATTTTTTGATTAATTTAGTTAAATTTATATATAATTAATGTAATTAGTTGTTGAATGTTGTGCTATTATTTTTTATATGTCATTTTTTTTTTTTTGTGCTCTAGAAATATGTTTAATTCAATTTATTAGGTATAATTTTTTATAATTAGTGTAGATTAGGTATGTGGTATATATTTGTTTAATAATTAATTATTATTTACGTAAATAAATTAGTTATTTTGTTATGTATATTGTATTTTTTTTAAATTTGATATATTTTATTTATAGGATTATGGTGGTGAAGGTGTTGATTACATTCATCAATTCGATAATAACATAAGATTCGCAACTATTGAAGCCGTTGTGCTATGGGCGAAAAGAACTGCGATATCTCTTAATTTTACAGTGGTTATGGCGTCGAAGACAGATGAGACTAAGAAATTATTACGATGTCCAAAAGGTGTTCCCCCCTAGAGATACAGAGAATCGGGTGCAAGAAACAAAGGCGCAGTATTGTGAATGCCCGTTCCGGCTTCTAGCCCAAATTCGCCCAGGCGTATCTACTTTTGGGATTCGTTCATGTCTCGGTCATAATGGTATGCATAACCACTCGTTTGGCAGCTTCGAAGAGGGACAGATGCAGATGAGCAGCCTTAGTGAATCGAAGGCGATTGCTGACGAGTTGACTGCCATTAATGTAAAATTGTCTGCAATGCTGCGGGCGATTCAGCAGAAATACCCGGACGAGCACGTTGTGATCAAACAGATATACAACTACAAGAGTAGGATGCAGGTGGAAAAGAGGAAGGGTAAAACGTTGGTGGATCACTTCTTTGACATTACTCAACAACACAAGTATGTGATTACTATGGCTAATGAAAAAGGTGTGTAGAGTCATATTTTCTGTGCACGTCCAGTATCTGTAGAGTTGATCCGAGTATACCCGTGATATATTGGCATGGATACTACTTATTTAACAAACATGTATAATATGTCGCTGTTAAAAATTTTTGGGATGACTCCAACTAACAAGAATTTTCTGATTGGATACATAATTATGAAGGATGAGAAGAAGGAGAGTTATACTTGAGCATGTCAGCAGCTTCAGGATATGATTGGATGGGAGGTGCACCCGTATGCCATAGAGACAGATAGGGAGTTAGGGCTAGCAGAACCAATCAGTTTGATATTTCCAGATTTTGCACATCTTCTGTGCGTGTGGGACATCAACAAATATGTTTTTGAAAACTCAGGGTGACATTTTGGAAAGAAATTCGCGAACTGGTGAAAGAAGGAGATGTTCGATCCGATACTTGACACTCCTACTAAGTACCTTTATGAAATGACTGTGATTAATATGTCGTACTACAGGCACCCAAATGCGAAAAGTTATGGAGAGTTGGTGCGTTATGTGAAGACCACTTGGCTAGTTCACAAGGAGAAGGGGGCTCATGCGTGGACAAATGGGGTCACTCATCTTGGAAACACAAGTAATTGTAGGGTGTAGAGCGCCCATAGTTCCATAAAGAGGTTTCTTGACTCGGCGACCAGTTACCTAGTTACAATATGGACCAGAATCCACGCAGCGATCGAGTATCAGTTAACTGAGATCAAGTACGTAATTCGTTCGTTGTTTAATTTTATTTTTAATACTTAATTACCAATGTTATTATATTAACAGTGAGAAATTTAAAATGTAGGTTCCGTTTAACCGAATCAGAACGCCGTTCGAGGAGAGAGCACCTTCAGTTTCCCTATGGCCGTCTAGTTAGACGTGTCTCACGTTACTGTTTAGACATTCTTCAAAGTGAGTATATTCGTATGCAGCAATTGGGTGAGGATAATGTTTGTGGTTGTGTGTTGAGAACGACCCATGAAATCCCCTGTGTAAGTGAGCTTAAACAGAAAAGGGAGTTGCAGGTGCCCATTACAGTTGCCGACCTCCACTCTTTTTGGAGCAAACTTAATTTTACAAGTGTGACACCTGATTCGGCCCCAAGTGATCATGCTCAACCTTTTGTGTCAGAAGAGCATGTAATTTTTACAGAGCTTTCCCTTAAGGCATTCAACAAGAGGCCTGAATTTTTGAGGCGCGTCAATGAGTTTCTGCACCATGAGCTGGAAGAAGAGGAACACCATGAGCAGATGAGTTTCGAGGAACAAGAGCAACACCATGATTAGAGGAGTTTCGAGGAACCTGCAGTGAAGCCAAGTGTTAAAGGGCGTCCTAAAGCGAATATCTCGTTGAAACGATGTTATTAGGAGAAGTATATTGTTGGTTCAGGGAGATCGCGCATGAGCACATTCTCGCCTACATACGATAATAGTCGTAAGAATGTTTTGAATTTTTTTTTTTATGTCACATTTTATTTTTAAACATTTTGTTTCGGCAATGTACATAACGTGAATATTGTTTTTTTTAGGTGAGCAAAGAGGTTGGAGGATGGATTTTCATTCATATCAGTATCGGTAATCTATTCCGTCTTTTATGATTCCTTTTGTTTGGGGGTACCTTGATGTGAGGGGAGATGGGAACTGTGGGTTCCGATGTGTGGCAGAGTATGTTCGAACTTCAGAAGAGGATTGGCCGTTGGTCCGAACAACCATTATTCAAGATCTTATTAAATGGCCGAATTTATATGATCCTTCGTATTACTACAACAGGGAACAAAACATACGACGGTTAAGGTGGCTGGTAGATGGATGCCTTCCGCCCCATTATATGGAATGCACACAAGACTTGTACGCGATTGCTACTATCTGGAATGCTGCAGTTTTTCTATAAGGTCTCGAGAATATATTAGATGGGGATCTGGGTTTTTATTGTTTGATAGTGTTTCCCCTTACTGATCGTGGAGACACCAGAAGACCAACTCGTGAGATTGTGCTTGTTCACCTCGGCTGTGTAGATCATTACATTTGTGTTGATTTCGGTAGTGATTTTCCTATACCTCCTGTTCATCCTTATTGGTTTAGGTGGCGTGACAACAATGTTGTAGGCTGGGAAGATGAGTACCATTCTAGGATAGCAGAGTGGAATAGACTATATAGATCTAGTTAGTAGTTGCATAACATTTATTTAAATTGTTAAAACTAGTTATTTAAATTTCATATGTTCCTTTGCAAATTAAAACACATAACATAACATTCTGAAATTGGGAAGAAATCTAAGAAGTAACACATAACATAACATTATGAAATTGGGAAGAAATTCAAGAAGTGACACATAATATAACATTCTGAAATGGGGAAGAAATCCAAGAAGTAACACATAACATCCTAATAAAATACATATCAATCTCTCTGGCTCAATCGGAATTCATCCTGAAATTGAGCAAACAATGCCTCATGCTCCTTTACTCTCTCTTCGTCAATTTCGCGGATTGTCTCAAGTGAGTTTCTATGAATTTCGGACAAAGGGTTGACCCACTGCAAAAAAAATAAAAATAAAAAAAAATTACACAATTAATAATATATTGTATAAACATTTCAAGAAATGGTTATGCAATAAAGACTTACATGAGATGTGGTTCTAACTCCACCTATAGTAGTGGCATCTAAAACCAAGAAAGGATGCGAATATTTCAAGTACCATTGGAGGTAATTAGGAGCGCATGCAGTCTTATCATGATCACTCTGCTCAAAATACTCTAGATCCAGTCCGGTACTGAATGGGAATTGCATCCAAGCATCAAACGCCTCAGTGGGCCTTCATGAAACCTTGTAGGCGTGGTGATTACCACTACGATTTGCACTCAGGGGATGAGGAATGGGTGGAGGGATGACCTGGATGTATCCAATCTGGCACAATACTCGACTAGGCAAGTATGGCTCAATAATATCTTGGTACTGTATCCAGCCACTATATATGGTCCTTGGATCATCGGAAAAAGGATCGGGGCCATAAGGCAACCATTCAACCTACACAAAAAATATAAGATACATTAATAACATTATTTTGCATAACTATTATTAATTAAAAGTGTGAAAAGTGACGTACTTGATCGGGTGTCAGCTTGTCGATCTGGCTACGAAGGTGTATCAGACGATCTGGACTGTTATCAGGATTTGGGACATTCCACCATCCAGCTCGGGGTCGGTCAGGAGCCTCAAAAGGACCGCCCCGAGGTGGTCTGAAATATGGATAATACACATATATCCACGCCTGAAGTAGTGTGTAGCAACCAGACATTGAGGCATTTTTCAATCTGGTTGACAAGCCTACCTGACGGTAGAGATAGGCTAGAGTAGCAGACCCCCAACAAATATTGCCACAAGTGACTAGTCCATCAATAAACTCGGAGAGAATCGCCGCTCTAATCCGAGTCCCACTCCTGTCGGTAAACAACGTGTTTCCTAACATGACCCACAACCAGGCGGTCACCTGATCTAAAACAAGCGCTGCCGCTCGGCCTATCTTCGCAACAAGGCCCGACTGAACCCCTCCACCGTGGATTACTTTACTAGTCTGTAGCGTCTGACTAGTCATTCTCAGCGCCCTCATGACCAAAGTCTTACAATCGACAGTCCCAGGTTGTGCTGTAATCAATCTACCTTCAACAGGAATACCCAATATCTGTTGCACATCGTGTAACATGATGGTCATCTTCCCAAAAGACATGTGAAACGTGTTGGTCTCCGGCTGCCACCTCTCTACAAATACTGTAATAAATGCCTTATCAATGTTGGTGTGCATGATGTCCATGATGTGGGATAGCCCTGTACCAACCAACAAGATCTGAGCCTCAGTCGATATAGAACACTTCCATTATTTCAACAACTTGAAGTATGTGACTTTTGTATCCATCTCCAAGGAGGGTTTGTACGACTTATCCTTCAAGCAATGGGCCACATGAACAAGAAAAGTGGGAATAACAGAACCGTCATGAGGGCCACCAACAACTGGTCTCGTGACAACCCAAGGCTGGGCATTACTCGCTGAAATTAACGTAAACAAATCATTCAATTTTTTTTGATAAAATATTTGAAAAAACTTAACTACTAACATGTAAAATATAAACCCCATGCACTAATTTCTTACCTGCTGATGATGATGCAGATGAAGATGCAGATGCAGCTCCAAGTCCTCTAACCCTAAGACGAATAACATTGCTTTGTCTAGCTGGAGGTGCATGTGGGGGTGAATGTGGAGATGAATATAGAGGTGAATGTGGAGGTGAATGTGGAGGTGAGTCACCTCCGAAATCATTAAACTCTTCCGAGTCGATATCTTCAATCGGGACATCATCATTGTCACTCACACTCTGTAAGTCTAAACTGGCATGATCGAATACATCGTCAAGTCCCACACTACTACCGGTCTGACCCATCTGCGACTCACCCTTTGACTTATGCCCAGTTGGACTCCCACGACGATATGAGGTAGAAATAACTCGACCTTGCATGTCCCGTGTACCCGACTCAAGTAACAATGAAGAATCAGGTACATCTGGCCTTTTCTTTTTTCTCCTTTGAACTTACATTAATGAATACATATAACTACTCCACTACAATAATCAAAATAGAAATTAAAATAAATTCAATTAAATAAATTATACCTAATTAATTTATCCTTTTAACCTACATTAAATATCATATATAAATATTCCATCACAATAATTATTCAATAGAAATTAAAATAAAATCAATCAAATTAATTATACCTAATTAATTTGTCCATTTAACTTACATTAAATATTATATGTACCTATTCCATTAAAATAAAAATTCAAATATAAATTAAAATAAATTCAATTAAATTAATTATACATATTAAATTTACACATTTTTAATGGAATATAATTAAATTAATTACAAAACTAATTAAATTTCTCACTTTCATTATAAATTAATACAAATCTAATTAAATTAATTACAACTAATAACACAACATTCAACAACTACTTACATTATTTATAAATAATTTAACTAAAATAATTATAAAAAAATTACAACAACAAAAAAAATTAAAAAAAAAACACTACCCAGGCTGGCCGACCCCAACGGTGGCTAACCCGGGAACCTTGGTCGGATTTCTCACCGGTCAAGGACCGTGCCGCACTCTTCAAGTATTGGCCGGTCCCTGACCAGACCAATCCAATCCCTTGGCCAGTGAGAAATCCGGCCAAGGTTCCCGGGCTGGCCACTGTTTGGGTCGGCCAGCCTGGGCAGCAGCTCCTTTTTTAAAAAAAAAAATTTAAATAGAAATTTGAAAAAAAAAATTACCGGCATCGATGGTGAGTTCTCCCTTTGTTTCCTGCAGCGTTCTGCCATTTTTTTGGTGTTCGATTATTAGTAGATCTAGATTTGAAGAAGAAGAAAAGAGGAAGAAGGAGAAGAAGAAAGAATAAAAGAGAAAGAAGAAGAAGAGAGGAAGAAGAAGAAGAAGAAAGGAGGAAGAAAATAATTCAGGGACAAAATTGTAAACAATAAATTGCATGTGAGTAATTTTTAAACTGCAAAAAGCAATTCAGTTTTCGGTTCTGAAGTCTAAACGGAACAGGGCCTAAATAATATTTGGCCAATTTTGCACCAACACAATAGAAATTGCTCTTTCTTGCTCCGTGACTTTAATTTTTACTCTTTTGTGCCCCGTAATAATGGACAAAAACAATTTATTATTGGATTTAGTGGACGGATTAACCATTTAAAACCAAATGTTTTGAACTAAAGGAATGTTTTTCTCATGTTGATAACCAATAGTTTTTGGCCTGAATATATAAACCAATATTATTTCTACCCATGTAGTTGAGCCAATGGGCCAATAGGGACTTAACTCTTAATTTTTGTTAACTACTGTAATATATATTCTCACGACAAGTAACTAATGTTGCTTGCATTTGCATATATAGATTCTTTCAGTTCATATTTTATATCCTGTTTAGTAAAACCAAACCATTAATATAATTAATCTTTCCGTCTCGAATTATTATTATTCAAGAGGTGCCTGTTATTTTGACACAGGTGAAATATAAAATGAAATATAATATGCTAAAATCAGTTCTCAATATAAAATTTTCAGATAGTGCATTCTTTTGAACATCTCTAATTGTTCAGGATAATTGCATAGTCTGTGATGGAACGCATAAATGGAATTATGGAGGCATAGTGAAAATGCAATCATAGGGCTGAAAAGTGCAAACTCTTTCATATCTGCAGCAACTGCCACAAAAATCCCCGTCAATTCCCACAAAATCATCAAACCTGTTAAATTACATGCACCAAATAAAGAGGGATAATTACTTGCAAGAAGCCACTGTGCACTCTTCCAAGGTAAGTAAGAAAGCAAAACATCAAAGCCAGCAACTACCACAATATCCTACTAACACCATTTCTACTGCCACAAAAGGGATTATGTTCCATAAGCCACTGAAACCCTGTATTTGTAAGTCAAAACAGATTCGAATCCACAAAAAGCCACTAGCCCTAGGCGTTGAAACTCCAGATGAGAATAAATGCAGAGGATTCACATTGTTGCTGATTACTCTAATGGTACAACCTTGAACCTGTAAAGAAGCTTCTTTTTCTTTGTTGTTGGGTTGTCTATTGTCAGCAATATTTTCCCGAGCTCGGTAATCTTGAAGCTGTGGGAGATCACAGGCTCATCAGTTGGGGACATCTTCCTTGGCTTCTGTATGATAACAGTATAGCTACCGGGAGTGTCAGGAACATATTCGGCACTGTAGCTCACTTCCCACCCAACAACGCGTAGCTCCCAAACAAGAACACATTTCTGCATAATGGGTTGACAGAGAAACAAAGAGAAAGAAATCACATCAGAAACAAGGCATTCCTTACACATCTTTGATCTCTACACAGAATTAATTTAAACCATAAATCTAATCACTCCACAATCTCAGTCACATGTAAATATGAAATCAATCATGTTGTTGTGAGCATTATGCGATACAATTCTTTTGAAACAACAAACTAAACAAACTTGTGTCATGGTGGTGAACATAAGAACATTTGACATCTCAAACTCACTTTTAAACTAGCTTCATGTCAAGCTTAATTGAGTCTTAAGACCGGCATCAAGCTAACAGCAAAAAACTGAAGGAATAAAGAACATAGCATCCATCACAGTCTGTACCTCATTGACAGTAATTTCCACAGTTTGCTTTGTGGCAGGCTTGATTGTAATCTCTGGGGCAGGATCATCAACAGTGAATTCTGGGTTGCACTCACAGAAGTCTACACTAAGCCCTCCATATTGGATAGGAACTTGTTCAGGCGAGATATACCTGTTCCAACAAAATGAGAAACCGTGACAAATCCATCAAAGACTAAGGCAATAAGATTAGTCTTAAGTAAAAACAGCATACAAACTGCCACCTACTTAAATAGGGTCTCAGCGGTCCTTGCAGGGCCAGCAAACACGAACTTGCTTTTGGTCCTTTGGGTCAAGAATGGGCCAATCATCGTGTAGAAAGCCAAATACCACCAAGGAACGTTGATGAACACCTTCAAAGTTCAAACAAACTAATCAACACTCGAAGCAACCCATAACTCCTAATCAAAACAAAATGTGCAACTCCAGAATCAAAACCCAACTTTGTGTTTCAAAAAGAAAAACCCAACTTTGACTAAAATTTCGAAGTCGACACCATAGGAGTTTTCTTCCCTGTATCTCTTGCTGGTGGATGAAAGGAGAAGGGGCAGGATAGAATGATAAAAAATCCAACCTTACCGATTTTCTCAATTCAGTATGTTGCCATAACAACGCAAGCAAAATCAACTACAGGCATTTCAGGGCACTACTGGCTGCCAACAAATTGCTACCTTATATTTTATCATGTTCAGTAGTACTGCGGTAAATGCAATCACCAACAAAAAACCTGCCCATTCACCTCAGGAAAGAATTTCAAGAGTTTCCTTTCATTCATCAAATAATCCATCGAATTGTCAAGACCAGATAGCCGAAATTATCATTTCAATGGTTTTCACTCAAGCCCATATATCTATCTCATAGTTTGAATCACCAAGTGGCATATGACGCCATTCTCATCTTTTCTTAATCTTAAAAAGGAGGACACTTAAACTTCAAACAGAACAATAAAACAATTGAAACATATCTGTAATGCTACATGCGAGAAATAACAAAACACAAAAGCTACCTGCTTTGCCACAAATTCTGGGTAATTGTCTTGAAGCAATTGCAAAGCCTGCCTAGTGGCAATCCTCAGCTCCCTTTTCCCAGGTCCAGGTGAATTCTTCAAATCACTAACCTGAAATATGGTATTGATCCCACCAGGCCTAAAATCCAACTTTCTTATACTCTTCTCCAGGAACTGAATCCTCCATCTCAAGAACTTCTTCCTCTTCTCCTCATCAGCAAATGTCTTATTATACAGCTCCTTATTCTGAAACTCCCCATAAACATTATAGCAAACAGGGTGTCCATCTTTATCATGCCCGTGCATAAACACAACTTTATCTAAATCATCTCCCAAATCCTCATCAATCAAACCATCTACATTGTACTGTTTCCTCCAAATCAAGGTGTTCTGCAACATTAAAAATGCTTTCTTTACATCGAAATCCCGAGCACGCAGGAATTTCAACAGAATTACATCACTCCTGTCATCTTTCATCAGAGGGATGCCCCAGATGGACACTTCCTCTGCTTCACCACCACTGGTTGAAATTTCTGATTTCTCCTCAGCTTTTTCCCCTTCCACTTGAGTACTTTTTTCCCCTTCTGATGAAATCTCCTCCTTTTTCTTCTGGGCTGGTAATGGGGCAGTAAAAGCATTGTTCTTTAAACCTTCTTGAACTGAAGATTTAAGCTCTTCAAGGGCTTTTCTTTGGAAATCGGTGAGATCTGAGACAACATTACTCTCTTCCTTAAAAGACACCCACGATTCAGGACCACCGCCAATCTTTTTACCTTCCTCCAGAGCTCCCGGCGGCGGCACCGGCTTAGGAAGAAACCCTTCACCGCCTTCACCGGCGGCAGCCTCCTTCTGGGTTCCCAACGGCCCAGATGAAGAAGTCACCGAAACTTTCTCCTCAGCTAAAACGGCGGTGGTTGGTGGTTGAGCAAGCGATAAAGGAACTTCCTTTTCCACCACAGAAACCGCCGGAGCCGGAGCAAGAGCTGAAGCTGAAACCTGTTGAACTTGAATATCAGCTGATGCAAGAGGCGGCTCTACTGCTTCTTCAGCAGCTAAAACAGCTCCTGCTTGCTCCTCCTCACCAACAGGCTGATGGGATTCAGGGCTTTGCTCAGCCATTGGAGAATTTAATTGGGATTACTATTTTTCAAAAGAGTAAAGTTGGGTTCTTTTTTTTCTGGGATGAGGATGGAAGGATTTGGAATTCGAAAATGGAGTTTGGAATTTAGTGAAGAAAAAAGAAGAGAAGAGAAGAAAAAAGAGTGAAGAAAGAACAGCAGTAGTTTTCAGGTCATTCCAGATATGTGTAGTTTTGGAGTGGGACATGGACTTTGAAATAGTGAGATTTGTGAGTTTTCGGAGGTTTGTGTTTGTTGTCTGTCGCCCAAAAGATAATATTGTGTGCTTTGACTAATTAATTATAGTATTTATATTTCAAAGGTTTAAATTAAAGTGATTAAACAAGTGCTAGGTAGAGAATATGATATGATGATGGAAGAATGCTGCATTGTTTTTTATTTGATTTTTTAGATGGATGAAAAATAATGTTTTATTATAGCAATTTCAGCTCAAATAGGTTGTAAAATGGCACCTGAATCTTGGTTTGTTTTTTCTTGGTTTTTCAGAATTTTAATTAATAGATATCCCATTCTAACATAGTAATTTTATTATAGTATTTTTATATTTTTATATTTCTAATACAAAAACTATTAAAAAACGATTCAAACAGTTCCATAATGAAACGTGACGAGATTGTTTACATGTACCCATCACCATATCGAAAATGAAAATATCAAAATTTTTTAATTATCAAGCAAATGTACATATCATGTGTAGATTAATTCCTATTCGAGTCAGTAGTTTATTTTTTTTAAAAAAAAAAGAGTGAATAATACTATAGTTGAGCCATGAAACGCATAAAAAAGTTATACTTAAAGGATAAAAATTTTAAAAATTATTGCATCATCATCATATTAAAGAGAAATCAATATCACCTATTTTGGTTAACCAAACTTTTAAACATAATAATACCGTAGTTCAAAGAATAAAATTTCCATGGAAGAGTTACGTGGGAAAATGACGCCTTAAAACATCATTATTTCGGTCGTTGCGGTGGACATGTGCCTTACAGTACAAAATGTTGACGACTTTTTTGAATGTGTAAAACGTTAGAAGATGACATAGAAATTTTTCAAAAAAAAAAAACAAAACAAATCGAAATTCTGCAGAAATGTTGAAAAAAGACAGAATCCTAAGTGATAAGTACACACATTACAGCAGCATTCTGTCATTCTGGGTAATGGGTATAGAAGAATCCAAGGTTCAATAAATTTAAATTAGCTGCTTGTATTTCCCATCTTTGAAATCTTTCTTTTTTAAATGTTTTCTTTTTTTTTTATCAAAATACAATTTAGAATAGCGTTGTCTATTATATTGGTTCACAACATTACAATAATTATCGATTTGCGGCATAGTTACAGGAAGGGAATTATGGTGCTCCTTAAAATTTTAACCAATTTGGGAAGTGAATATGAAAAATGTTATAAAGTTTTCACGGTCAGATAAGAACATTGTAAGGGTTCATATGGAGCTCATCATGGGGATTAAAGAATTGATTTTGTAGAGTTTGGATGGTATAGTAGAAGTTAAGCATGTGTTGGGAGAAATTAATTTTGTCATTTAATTATTTAGTCACTTTATTATTAACTGTCTTAAGATGGTATTAAAATATAAAATCTACAATTATATCTGTGGTTAAAACATGTTATTATCGTATCTCCCATCCATAGAACGTATTAAAAAAGCGTTTTTTGAATAAATAAAACCAAACATTTGAGATAGGGAATCATTTAAAAGGAACTTTCTTTTTAAGAATATGGACACCAGAAGGGTGTAAAATTGAGAAATTATTCAGTGCAGTTGTTGTCCCACGTAGAATTGTGCTGCTTTATCGCAGGATTGTATAGCCAAATACAATAAAAGGGATAAAGTAATAATTTTGGAGAGAGAAATAATTTCTACATGAGTTATATCATCAAAATAGGGGTACTAATACTTGTTGCACTAAAAATCAGGATACATTAGCTGTACCCAATAATTTTTTTGTGAAGTTAAGGGAGAAGTAATTAGAGTTTTGATATTAAAAAGATCCAAGAGGCAAAAAGGATTTTTTTTCTTTCTTTTTTTTTTTTTTTTGAAAAGAGGCAAAAAGGATATAATCTTGCAAATTTTCATATCCTACCTTTTTCGAAGGTGCAGCTAGACCCATCCAGAAAGGGGTTGGACTTTGAACATTTTTTGTCATGCTGCTGGGAGCCGCAATATGGACCATCGCAATACATTAATGTGCAGCGTAATCAATAGCGAGATGCCCCATTTTTGCCTACAACCCAGCCCCTCATTTGGGTGTCATTTGGGCCCCCTCTTTGCTCTCCAAACCTTAATATAGTTTTGGAATAATTACACCTCAACAATAATCCTGGTAAAGCAATTGCAAAAAGAACTTTGGACAATCTAGAAAGTCAAGACTATAATTATAAGCTTAATTGCGAGATTGAGGGTTTGATTTATGATGATGCAAGAAACAACACATATTTAAATGGTACATGTATATTAGTTTAAACCGGCACGTATGCTATTACAACACATATTTACAAAGGCTAAATTATGTACTTCGATAACCTTTAGTCTGCTAACTTTAATCAGTGAGCATGACTCAAAGGCTAATCTAATAGACTGAAGCGAGGAAATAACTTCATGTGCCTCAGTGGGGATAAGAGTAGTTGGATTATCCAACGTAAGTGTCTCCCAATCAGTATAGACTTGTATTCTTGTTAAGCCTAAACTCAATGCGTCTTTAATGGCTAGCAAGCAAGTCATTGCTTCTGTCTGCAGTGGGGACAAGATGGTAATGCCTACCACCTTGAGCTACAGCACCATGCCGCGTGGATAAATAATCTTCCAAGCAGTTGCGGCTTTCCTTGTTTGATGGTTATATGATCCATCAATGATGATCAGAGAATAAGAGGACTCTTTCAGTTGAGGAACTGTAGGTATTCTTGATATGGATGAGGAGCTATGTCGAAGTTGTGTGTGATTGTCTCATCAATAAGGATCAATGTCGAAGAAACCGCCGGATCATTGGTTTGGTGTCGCCAAATCCTATCATTTCTTTCCATCCAGATTCTTCAGATGATGGGTAGAAAAAGATCAACTTTCGCTTTTGTTGGATGCGTTTGAATCCAATTAACAAACCAGGTATGCATATAGTCATAGTTTGGAACAAAAATTGATGCAAACCTAGGATTTGCAAGTGCCCAAATAGCTTGAGAAGATTCACATTGGAAGAATAGATGAAGAGCATTCTCTTCACAGCGTTCACAACGAGGGCATACCAGATCAATCAAAACTCCTCTTTTAGTTAGCTCTGTCCTTGTAGACAGTGCATTCGGTAACACCCGCTAGAGTAAGAACTTATGTTTTGGTTGCACACCTAACTGCCACAGTCATTTCCAGGCCGTTTTTTCTTTTAGCAATATTTCTGGATGCATATTCAAAACCCAATTACTAAGTGGTGGATGTCAAACCAACAAAAATAAAAGATTCTACTCCTAACAAATTTAGTAGTATAGCAATGAGTAGAGTCGTCTCCTCAGGGAGCAAGAAAGTGAAAATATTTCTAATCAAAAGCAAAGTAACTAAATGGGAGAGATTTTGGATTTGTAACTAATGAATAACAAAAATAATTTGCAAGCAATAAAAGATACTTTTGAAAAATCAATAATAAGAGTAACTCTAGTCAAAAGAATAATTTCCACCTTGATGTATCTAACTGATCATTGATGCAAAGACTAATTCAACAAATGATGAATATATTAGTTATCGTTGTTGGAACCTTCTAACAACTCAGTCTTTTTATTTAACTACCAGTGACTAAGAAATCTTCATTAATCACTCTATAGCCAAAAAACACTACCTGGAACCTCCTAGGATTTAGTTTTTGACAAGCAAAGACCCAATTCAATTTCTAACAACAAACCTTGTTTCATTAAAAATTGATTATTTATTCTCACAACACAACTAAACTACTTACCAAGTAATTATTTGTATTGTCTTTTCTAAGGAACAAATAAACCTTGTTGTTCAATAAATTAGATTATCTAGGAGAATTGAATGCTACCAACTATTCAAATAATGCCAAATAATCATCAATACACATCAAAGAGAATAAATAAATACTCAAAATTCGTTGGTGAAAAGCAAACAGTTAGATCTCACAATTGAATAACATCAAGACTTCAATAAAATTCTTTAACTAGAAAAGAGAATTAGTTGCTAATCATGGTGAAATCAACAATACAAGAATTGATGTTTAACATTACAGAGCTAAAACTGACGAAAACGGAGAGAGATCCTTATCTTGAGCTCCAGCCGTCGCTACCTGTGTTGTGTCTCTTCTCCTCTCCTTCTTAATAATAAGAAAAAGACTATTTATATGCAAATTTAGAGCATCCCAACGTTCAGCCCGTTCAGAAATCGCAGCAACCAATTAAATTTTTCAAAATCTGCAAATTAGTCCCTGAAGTTTGCCAAAATTACAAATTAACCCCAAAACTGGAAATTTTGCTCTTTAGTCCCTGTTACAGCGTGCCCACGCGGGAATACAACATTGTTGCTGGAATTTCCTGTTTCCTTCATTGATTTTGGCATGGATTTTGTGTGCCCACGCGGGAATCAACCACTTCTTCTCCAACTTGAAACTTGATTCAATAAAACCTTCAAAATCTCTTCAAAATCAACACTTTTCTTCTTTTTGTTCCAAATCCTTTCTATGATCAAATTAAGAACCAAAACACTAATATTAGCATAGATAATATTCAAAACAACACATTAACCACCACAAATATCATGCTAATATTAACATTATCACTAAGGCGCTTCATCAAATGGACAAATAACCATCCCCAATGCTTTTGTCTTCACCAGTTGCTCTTTTCATTAGAAAACCGCTCTTTTAAAACTTATGTGGTAGGCAGCCGCTCTGGTCTTCACCAGCTGTAGTTTTTAAATCAGTAATCTAGATACTGATGATATGGGAAATTTCTGATTCTTATGGTATA